GGATTCTGGGAGTTGAAACCCGTCGCCGGGTTTGAGAAACGCTGGCCTGACCTCAGAGAGGCTCCATGTAAAGGAGAGTTATCGGAGAAACAAACTCAAATCTCCAAACTTTAAGCCTTGGGGACTTCAACTCCCAGAATTCCACAGCTGTTGCATTCTGGGAGTTGAAGTCCACAAGACTTAAAAGCGGCCAATGCTGGAGATCCCTCGTCTGAAGGGTCTATAACAGTGTTTCTCAACCTTGGTGACTTTAAGTCCTGTGGACTTCAACTCCCAGAATCCCCCAGCCAGCATAGCTGGCTGGGGGATTCTGGGAGTTGGAGTCCACAGGACTTAAAGTCACCAAGGTTGAGAAACACTGGTCTATAAGGAAGTGGGATGGATGGGCTTCCCCAACCGATGGGGGCTCAGCACCACTCTGCCCTCTCCCCCCAAGAGACCCCTGCGAGGCTGCCTCCCCCTCCGAACCCCATAGCCCATCATCCCCAGGGATCCATCAATCCTGGGCCCGAGTTGCCAGCGGAGGCAGACCGAAGCTCATAAATATTCTAGCACTTTTTGAACATTCGATCTGGGGAAATGTTCTGCTTTCCCCCACACCCACCCTCCTAATATCGAACAGGAGGAAATGAAGCTCAGGATACGAAGCCCCCCCCCCACCCTGGGAACCAGCTGCCCCTCCCCCAAGTCTGTTGCCCCCCCCCTCCCTCCTGCTCGGATTTTTTATGCCCCAAAAGCCAAGCGAAATAGCAAGGCAGCTGCTGCAATCAGGCTGTTCTGGAAGGAAGTCGGGGGGATAATTGGTTTTTGCATCCCAAACACCAGAAGCAATTAGGGGTTTTTGGAGGGGGGTGGGGGGAGGAGAAAGGAAGGCGACTGCAGAAGGGATGAGCAGACGGTGGAAAATTACAGGTGGATGGAGGCGGGGGAAAGAGAGAGAAAAGGGAGGGAGGAAAGAGAAAGGGAGGGGAAGAGAGAGAAACAGAAAGGGTAGGGAGGGAGGAAGAAAAGAGAAAGGGGGAAATGAGGGAGGAAGGAAGGAAGGAGGAGGGGAGGAGGAAGGAAGGAAGGGAGAGAGAGGGAGCAAAAAGGGAGGGAAGAAGTGGGAGGGAAGAAGGAAGGAAGGGTGAGGAGGAGGAAAGAAGGAAGGAGAGAGGGAGGGGAAGGGGGAGGAAGCAGAGAGAGGAAGAGAGAAAAGGAGGAAGGGAGGGAAGGAAGCTAGGGTGAGAAGGAGGAAGGAAGAAAAGAAAGAAAGGGAAGGAGGAAGAAGAGAAAGAGAGAAGGAGGGAGGGAGGGAGGAAGGGTTGGGAAGGAGAGAGAGAAAAGGAGAAAGGAAGACAAAGGGAGGAAGGAGAGAGGGAGGAAGAGAGAAGGAGGGAGAGAAGGAGGAAGGAAAGAGAAAGAGAGAAAGGGAGGGAGGAAGGAAGGGTGAGGAGGAGGAAAGAAAGAAGGAGAGAGGGAGAGGAAGGGGGGAGAAAGCAGAGGGAGGAAGAGAGAAAAGGAGGAAGATAGGGAAGGAAGGAAGGGTGAGAAGG